GTGGGCGCGGGGGTGTCCGGGCCGCGGCTCCGGCTTAAAGGAAAACTCTCCAAGTTCCAGCAGCAGGGAGAGGGGCGCCCGGAGCACACGCACCGCTGCCCAGGGCGCACACGCACACGCATACACACATGTACCCACTGGCACACACACACACTCACACACACATGCACCCAAGGGCACACACACACGCGCACATGCACACACACGCGTGCTCACACACACACTCAGGTGCTGTAGGTGCGCGAGTCCAAAGTTGCGGCCGCAGTGAGGGCCATCGAGATGGACCGTCTTCGCGGGTGTTGGGAGCTCTCTGCGCGCCAGTCCCGGGACCCCGATGGAAAGGAGGGAGCGAGGGGGACCGCCCACCGCCCAGAGGTGTCCCCCCTTTTCGGAGAACAGCAGCGCGAAAGAGGAGATGCAGAGCCCGAAGCCTTGGGACCCAGCCTGCGGGGGAGCAGCGGGAGCTTTCGGGGAGCCCGGCCCGGACCGGACCGGCGGCCTCGGGGGCACTTGGTCGGCGCAGTTCTCCGTGGAGCCGGCCCGCGCCTGGCGGGTCCTTCTCCGGTTTAAATGCATCGACTTGAAGGAAGCGGAGGCCGGCGCGCGCCGCAGCGGACTTGGGCGGTAAGTTGAGAGTTACCTGTGCTTTAAGCCCCGGAGCCCAGGGGAGCTCAGTGCCCAGCTTCATCCTACTTTTTAAGAAACTTGCCAGGGTTTCCCTCCGTCCCTTTTGGCCATGAGAAGGGGTGAGTGAGTGTGAGTGTGAGTGTGCGTGTGCGTGTGCGTGTGCGTGTGGTTTGGGGAGTGACTGCTTTGGAGCCGGGTGCTGAGCCCAGCGAGGAAGAAGGAACCTGAGTTTCTAAGCAGGGGAGCTGCAGGGCTGCGGAGGGGAGAGACTGCAGCCCCCTCCCTGGCCTGAGGGGTCGCCTGGGCGCGTGCTGGCAGGATTTCTCCAGCGCCAGGTCCAGACCTGGGTCCTCGGGCTGCAAACGCAGCCTCAGTGCCAAGCCGGTGCCAAGCCGGTGCTGGTGACGCCAGAGCCGCAGGTGCCTCCCGAGGCTGCGGGAGAAGCTGGCTGCCCTGCTCCTTCCTCCTCCCAGCCCAGCTTCCCTTGGTTCTGAATGGAGACAAGATCCTCACCCCCTCACCTCTGCGCTGCTCTCCTCCGTCCCCCCTCCCTCTCCCCAGTCCCCCCACCTCCCTCTCCCCAGCCCCTTTGCAGAAGCTCCTGTGATGTCACTGGGGAGGGTCCTGCCCAGCACCCAGAGGCATGGCTAGGTTGCATTCTCCAGCATTTATTTCTTCCCTCCTACCCATTTCCATGGCAAGTCATTGAACACCCTCCCCAAGCACCACAAACGCTGCCCCCCCTTCACAACAGACAGGGCCCGAGTCCTGATGTATATCCCCCCTCCCCCCCAGATTAGAAAGCCATCTGCTGAGTGGCCCAAGGAGCCTCTCCGCTCTGGGTTTTGATTTCTCTTCCCCTCTCAGCTCACCCTTCTAGTGGAAGGAAAAGGGGGAAGGAGGACGGAGAGAGAGGGAGAGAGGGAGGGAGAGCGAGCGAGCGGCCCCTAGACGGAGGCGCGGGCACTGAGCAGGCTGCACGCCGTCCCTGCCTCCTCCTGCCTCCTGCCTCTCCCTCTCCAAAGTGCAGAGGTCCCTTCCCAGTCGCCACCCTCCAGGCTCTCCTCCCTACCCCTGTCCTGGCCTCTCTCCCCCTCCCCCTCCCCCCACCTTCACTCTCCCCTCCACAGGGGAGGGCTGGGGGTGGGGAAGGACCCCCCCCCCCCCAAGCCCAGCCCTGGGCAGAGATGTCGAAGAAGCGCAAAGCCCTGGAGGGTGGAGGCGGTGCAGAGTCCCAGCTCCCAGAGGAGGAGCCCGCCGCCTGGTCTGGGGGAAGCGGCAGCCAGGAGCCAGGTAGGGGGAGGGGGCGGAGAGGAGGGCAGGGGCGCTGGGACTCAGGGCCTCTGCAGGAATGCTCCCGTCCCTGTCCCCCTCCATCACAGCTCCCCATGGTCAGGCAACTTGGGTGGACTTTCTTCCCACAAATGGGGTTTTACATGTGTCTTCAGGAAA